AGCCAGGATGGTCTCGATCTCCTGACCTCGTGATCCGCCCGTCTTGGCCTCCCAAAGTGCTGGGATTACAGGCTTGAGCCACCGCGCCCGGCCTATTTATCTTTCTAATACTGTCACATCTAAATGACATGGTGAAGTTTAAATAACATTAAAGTTATGAATAACTTTGAAGTTATTCAGCCTCCTTTATGAGTATCTCCTTCTAATTATGAGATTTTTTTTTTCTGATGTCATGGTCTATCCTTATTTCCTTAAGGGAAGAACCTTCTCTGGGGCATATGCCTTTTCAAACTTCTACTTAATTTTTCCCTCTCCTTTGCAAGTAGCCAGCCCAAGGCAGACCTTTGATGGGAGTAAAAGAAAAGTCTTATGTTTAAAAAAGATTGGTGCTTCAATGACTAACATAGTTTGGATGATTTTATTTTCTGAATGTGATAGTAGGGATGACTGTCTAAAAATGCCACCTCCACCCCCTAAAAAGTAGAAATTTTCACTTGAGATTGAAATTTTAACTACAGCAGAGAAAAAACTTCCTTCATTGAATGCTTTTTAAGGAACTGAAAGGAAAAAAATGTAATGTTATTTTGGTCACGTCTCACGAGAAATTATTGATTACGTATATCATCAATATTTAAAGCTCACAGCTCTGTGTGATAGGTATCATCGTCCCCATCTCAGATAAAGAAACAGGTTCAGGGAGGTTAAGTAATAGTCCCAAAGCTACACAGCTGGTAATCTTCAGAGCCAAGATTTGACACTAGGTCCATTAGACTTTAGCCCAAGGCCAGTGTTCTTTACACTGTAACATGCCGGCTCCACAGGACTGCCAGGGTTCTATAGCATGTTTCTAGGATCAGGAGACATAAAAGAGGTACTTCATTTGTTAAAAATGTAACTTTCTCCATCTTTCAGAACTGATCTGCTCTTCTTTCTCCAAAGGCTCAGTAGGAGTGGCCAAAATAATTGATTTCCTGAGACAGACAACTAGCCAAAATTCTGAAGACAGTGGCCTTCAGCAGTTGTGGAACATGCTTGATCCTGAGAAGAGAGACCCACATGTGGACCTGGAAACTTTCCAGGCCATGATGAAAGAATGGATGGCTTACTGTGGAAAAAAATGGTAATCAGAGTCCTAGTGGGATGCAGTTTAAGGTTCTATTTTAACAATTGATTATAATTATGCTAATCACTGTTTCCTGCGTTGATGGAAATACTATCATCCAGTGGTTTAGCGTGCATTAGAATCACCTGAATGATGTTAAACCTGATTGCTGGGGCCCCACCACTGTGATTCAGTAGATCCAGGGTGAAGCCTGGTAATTTACATTCTAACAAGTTTCCGATGATATTGATGCTGGGAGTGGGCTGGACATGCTTTGGGAACCACTGCTGTCATTCATTTCTTGTGATTAGTGGGGAGCACATGTTATATTCTCACAGAGAATTGAGCTGATATATGAGTCAGGTGAATTATTAATACTATCAAATCTTTAAATGTATTTAAATTCAATAATAGACTCCTTTTTAAGAGCAGTGGGACTAGTCAGTGAATGTAATTTGGAATCCTAGAATATAGGGAGGCTAAGGGGAAAAAGAAAGAATAGTAGAATTGGAAAAAGAAAAAGGTAAAGGAGGAGAAGAGCATCCATGATCTCAGGTGCCCTTGGCAGATGCTGGGGATGTGTATCTTCTTCCACAGAAAGTGAATTCCTCTTTTTTTTTTTGAGATGGAGTTTCACTCTGTTGCCCAGGCTGGAATACAGTGGTACAATCACTGCTCACTGCAACCGCTGCCTCCTGGGTTCAAGTGATTCTCCCACCACACCCTCCAGAGTAGCTGGAATCACAGGTGTGCGCCACCATGCCTGGCTAATTCATGTATTTTTAGTAGAGATGGGGTTTCACAATGTTGGCCAGGCTGGTCTCGAACTCCTGACCTCAGCTGATCTGCCTACCTTGGCCTCCCAAAGTGCTGGGATTACAGGTGTGCGCCACCCCCTGCACCTGGTCAAGAAGCCTAATTCCTCTGCCTCCTATTCAGCCACCAATCTTCACCTATCTGCCGATGCATGCTAGGATTTGCTTGAAGAAAATGTCGACTGGGCACGGTGGCTCACACCTGTAATCCCAGCATTTTGGGAGGCTGAGGAGGGTGGATCAGCTGAGATTGGGAGTTGGAGACCAGCCGGGCCAACATGGTAAAACCCTGTCTCTACTAAAAATACGAAAATTAGCTGGGCATGATGGTGCATGCCTGTGATCCCAATCACTTGGGAGGCTGAGGTGGGAGAATTGCTTGAACCCAGGTGGCGGAGGTTGAAGTGAGCCGAGATTGTGCCACAGCACTCTAGCCTGGGCAACAGAGTGAGACTCCACCTCAAAAAAGAGAAAATGTCAAGCCCAAGGAATGGAAAAACTTACCAGATTTCTGGTAGGATTAGGATGTATAGATAAGAAAATATGACTGAAATGTTGCATGCCATACACAGGTTATTCATGAAGGCAAGATAAATATATAGAAATAAGTAATGTTAGTGTAATCAAAAACTGCAAATACAGATAATATACCATTTTTACCCACGGGTTTAATGGAGATTTTAAAAAATGACTGTATCCCATGTTGTGGGCTGTGAAAAGGGTGGAGGAATAAGCCCTCCCATATATCACTGGGAGTAGTGCAAGTTGGCATAGTTTTTTTAAAGAGCAATTTAGGAATGTGTATCAGGCCCTTAAAAATATGCAGTCTTGGCCAGGTGTGGTGGCTCATGCTTGTAATCCCAGCACTTTGGAAGGCCAAGGTGGGAGGATCACCTGAGGCCAAGAGTTTCAGACCAGTCTGGGCAACTTAGCAAGATCCTGTCTTACAAGTAATTAAAAAATTAGCCAGGTGTGGTGGCATGCGCCTATAGTCCAGGCTACTTGGGAGGCTGAGGAAGGAGGATTGCTTGAGCCCAGGAGTTTGAGGCTGCAGCGAGCTGTGACAGAGCCACTACACTTCAGCCTGGGCGAGAGAGTGAGGCCCTGTCTCCAAAACAAAAACAAAAACCAAAGGCAGCCTCTTTGAGAAGTAATGTAACTTTAAGAAAGATAATTAATTGTAAACACTAATATAGAAGGTAGAAGGTAGTTTATGACAGTGATAAATAAAAGCAATCTAGATAGTTAAAAAGAAACAATTGGACAAATTATAGTACTTCCATACACTAGAATACTAGTCATTCAAAGTAATAATATTTGATAAGAGAAATTCATATGTAATTACTTCACATAAATAGGTCATAGATCTGTACATGTAGTATAATCCCATTTCTGGAAGAAATAAAAATATGCATAGGAAAATGTTAGAATTTATGCCAAAATGATTATTTTTGCATAATGGTTTTAATTTTTTGTTTTCTTATGAATTTAATATTTCTAAAATATGTAGGTTTGTATAATAAAGATATTAATATGTACAAAACAGCATGAAAAAAGAAAAAAACCATTTTTATAACAAGTATAAAGGAAAAAACATGGGCGGTAGAAATACAGAAGAGCAGAAACTCAGACATGGGGATGGACGTGAACACAGGAAATCAGAACACTGTGAGTTCTTTCATTCCCCCAACGTGTGACAGATATCTCACAATGACAAACAATGAGATGTAAACATATATTTTTGAATTTTGTGGCTGCTCCAGAGAGGTGCTTAGGTCAAGTAACAAAACTTGAATTATAATATAAGACTCTGAAAGGAAATGGTTGAAATGTTAATATGTTTATTTTGCAGTTCAAGCTAGAGTGTGTGTACTGCACACCCTGTATAGAGGGCTTCCCATATTTCAGAAGTAAAATGCTCGAAGTAAAATTAGTCGAGGTTCTATTTGGTTCTCCATGAGAAAGGGAAAATGTACTCCTGTCAATATATCCCAAAGTATTCGTTGTTCATGTATTTCCTTCTCAATCTCTTAAGCCCCATGATCTTGCAACCTCCACAAGTCTCCACTTACCACTCCAACCTATGTCTATTTCCTAATCCACCGAGACCCCACATCTCCTAATCATACGCTGCCTACGTGTTTTCTTTTTCATATTAGCTGAAAGTGTATGGATGGTGGAGGAATGCCTAATGTACCACCTACATTAGAAACAGTTGCACTAGGAACACAAATTCTTTTCTATCACTCTAAGTACCTAGCATAGGACTGGGCTCCAAATAGTTGTTGAATTAATATGTATTTTTTTTAACTCAGAAGGAAATACCTGAAAAGGAAAGCACAGAGCATAAATCTAAAAAAAAAAAAAAAAAAAAAAAGAGGACAAAACTGTGGTCAGGCAAAGAATCCTAGCTCACTGGTTTTGTTTTTTTTTTGGCTACAGGGAAGGAGTGAATCATAGATTAAGCAGCATCATTGATGATTCTGTTTTTGAACAGGATGGCATAAAATCAGATGGAACAAGTATGTATGTGTTTCTTCAGGATTGTTCTGTTTTCTTACGGTTTGGAGAAAATGATTTTCTTTTCATAAAACTCTTGTATGTGTTTCAGTGAAGATGAGCACAGATACAACAGATTCTACGTCGGGGAGCTTCGAGGCTTTGGGAGGAGACACATCTAAAGGAGTCTTGTAAGCCTTACTCTGCTTTCGCAAGTGTTTCAACTTCATTTTTCTTGTTTATATAAATCTATGTATTTCAGTTACGATAAAGTCACTTTGCTCTTTTTTTGCAGTAGAGTTAACATAATTGATTTTAAATTCTTAACTGATTCTAATAACGCCTGCATTACAGTTTCACTAGGAACACAAATTCTCGTGTGACTAGTAATCCAAAAATCACTTGCTCTCTCATGAAGCCCTTCTCCTTCATTAATTTCATGAGCTTCCTGTAGGGAAAAAGTTCCACTTGAAGTAGGGTTATGATATTGACCTTAAGCTCTTTTGGAAATTATTTTAAAGCACTTCTTTAGTAGAATCTTTTAGACATGAATGAGAAAAGCTGTTTCCCATGACATGTGTAAGTTTTAGATATTAAGGAGAGTGGTTCTGCCTCTCCCTTATTTTATCTTTGCCACTTCGGGTTTATCCATAAAGAAAAGTGGTGTGGGCTGGGTGCGGTGCTTCATGCCTGTAATCCCAGCACTTTGGGAGGCCGAGGTGGATGGATCACTTGAAGTCAGAAGTTTGAGACCAGCCTGGCCCACATGGTGAAACACCATCTCTACTAAAAATACAAAAATTAGGCAGGCATGGTGGCACGTGCCTGTAATCCCAGCTACTTGAGAGGCTGAGACATGAGAACGGCTTGAACCTGGGAGGTGGAAGTTGCAGTGAGCTAAGATTGTGCCACTGCACTCCAGTCTGGGCGACAGAGCAAGACTCTATCTCAAAAAAAAGAAAAGAAAAGAAAAGTGCAGTGGGAACTATGTTCTCACTGAGCTAGGCCCTGGGATAAGACAGCAAAAAAGAAAAGGAGGCCTGGGGCTCCATGAAACACACAGTCCAGACTCTGAAAGGATTTGTGAACTGATGTCATGGCAAATGATGCTCATAAACATTGACAAGTTATACAAAACATTAGGAAAGATGAATACTGAATTGTGAGCCACAGACTACAATGATAAGACTCTAGGAATTGTTTCCTAGGGAAACCTGCTGAGATTCCTTCACGGAAAGAATATAGGCTGGGCAGGGTGGCTCATGCCTTTAATCCCAGCACTTTGGGAGGCTGAAGCGGGTAGATCACTTGAGGTCAGGAGTTCAAGACCAGCCTGGCCAACATGGTGAAACCCCATCTCTACTAAAAATACAAAAATTAGCCGGGTGTGGTGGCG